ATGTCAACAATGAATTATTCTAGCAAACCTGCGTGTTCCGGACAATATATGGATATGGATATTATGATATTTAGATATTTAGACAATTCTCATAATTTTTGCAAAAGGCTGTAAATGCATCAAATAGTAAACTTTGTGAATAGATAGTAAACTTATTAACACTAATAGTGAATGATAGTGATGAAGGTCTTAACCCAACAAGATCTTTTAAGTTTAGCCTTTTGAGCTTGTAAAATAACAGAGAACAGTGAACTGGGATAAAATTATAAACATTTATTTAGAGTAAAAACGAAAGAAAAGTTGTGGCTTTTTCTCTTTTAAATATTGAATAGTGGATAGTTTTCTCATTTTATCACAACCACAATTTTGTTTGTGAGGATGAAGAGATAGAATGACCCTAATCAGAATTAATTGCAGAACTAGTCTGAATTGCTCTGATTTTAACTTGAGATTTGGGGGATTGAACAGACTACATTTGTACAGGCTAAGAGCAGCTGGCAGTTTATCATAATGGGAAGTAATTAGATTCCAGTTAATTATCATTGTGTACAATTATATTAACTTTTCATTAATGCCAAATTTCAATAATAATTTAAGCAGAATAAGCCAATACAATGGTTCTGAATCAAGGATGTTTTACTTAATTAAAGTTTTGGTTGCTTTGAAAGAGCAAATTCAGAGAAAACATGTTAAATGACTTACTGGTATAATCGATCAGAAAACAATAAGCAACCAACACTGCAGTCAAACAGTTTTATTAACTATTTTCATATTATGGTCATTTTGAGGGATTCCTGTGACATATACTAGTTTTGAGTATAAAATCCAAAAGTGCCTGTTACTGTTGTAGATACACTTTAGCCATTGGTGTATTTTATGGGACAGGTTATCCTTGTGATCAAATCTGGTTCAATACCTTATGCATTATATTCACAATTGAGCACAATTTATGAGGTCAYGTACTTCCTTCTGATCACTGCAACGGATAACTCGCATGTAAGTAGGTTATTGTAGACTTCAAATATATCTATGCTGGTAATTATTATAGAGGTATGTTATAGTTTCTAGATAGAGATAGGAGGGGGTCTGGTGCTTAAAGTAATTAAAAAGTGTGGCTCCAGTGTCTGAAGCCACTCTTGTTGAAATATCACAAACAATATGAATTCTTTCTTCTGGTCCCTTCAGATTGCAGGGTTTATCRAACTATAATTTCATATTAATGCCCTTGTAATTACTTGAACTACAATAACAAGAGAATGTTCAATTTGATATGAATGCAGTGTTATCAATTAAAGAAAATGTGCATGTTGAGGGAGTCTGTGTTTTATATAAATCAAAGACACTGGGAAAGGTTGATTGCAGCAAGTGATTGTCACATTCATTAAAGTTCTAACTTTGTTCATAATTATAGAGGACTAGAGCTTTTGTACCTCGTGGATGCTGTAACGAAGCCTTAACTTTCCATGACGTGTGTCATGACGTAATCAAATGGTATTTTTTATCGATTTTCTGACAAGGATTAGCGTTTAAACTTTTTTTCGTTTTTCATATGTAAAAACGTTACTATGTGTTCTCCGTTTTCAGCACAAAACTGGCGTCGAGCGAGCGCCGAACTTTCYTCAATTCCACTACTTCCCATTCGACGACATTCCAGTCCGAGCGGCGGGACTGTCAATGCGGAAAATACATCGTTTGATTGTCAAAGTGAAAGTTTTAGGACGTTCACCTCCATTAATGGGATCATCAGTCTTGCCAGACGTCAAAGTCAAGACGAAAACTCTCTTTATCATAAAGTTGTGTTTCTTTGCAAGGCAAACTATGGCCTTCTGTTAACGACAATGTCCGGCGTTCTGTTCGCCTTAGCGTCGCTATTTGTCAAATTCTCAAACACTACCATACCTGCCTTTGAAATCATCTTTGTGCGCTTGGTTATMCAAACTTTGTTTGTCATTCCTCCGGCTATATACTCGAGAGCCAACCTATTCGGGGAGAAAAAACACCGCATTTATCTCGTCATCTTTGGAGCGATTAACTTTGCTTGTATCTCGTCGATATATGGGGCGTTTACGCTCCTTCCCCTTGGCGATGCTACTGTGATCATCTCCACTACTCCAGTGTTTACCGCCATTATGGCTTACTTTGTACTCAAAGAGGCATGGCACAAACACGACGCTGTTTCCACATTCTTTTGTTTGGCAGGAATCGTGCTTATTACTCGACCGACATTTATATTTGGTAATCAATCAAGTAAGTCAATTATTTCTATYCCTGTCTCCGTTCACAGTCCCGTTTACCAGTAAGCCCGATTTTTTCAATCGTTCATTTATAGTTATTTCTTGGACTCGAATTTGTTACATTTCAAACGACTTCAGTCATTCCAGTAGGTAGAAGTTAGTAAGTATCTAAAACAAACATTTAACAAATAGTCTATCAGCTTTGCTCTTTTTTTCTACCCCGCGCGCTCTGCCTGGCTGCAAACGCGATCCACTTGCCTGGCCTAGACATACCACGAAATTCCAAGAAGAAAATAAAAGAATTGAAACGACTTCGAAAAAAGATGATYTTMCTTGCTTAATTAATTTACAGTTTCCTTTTGAACGAGCTGTATAAGTAAAAACTATCATTTTTTCATTTCCCAGATCACCCCAGTCATGTGACAAATGCACATCGTCTCATGGGCTACAGTGTAGCATTATTTGGAGCAATTATTCAGTCAGTAACCTTTATCGTTGTCCGTGGTTTTGGCAACTCGATCAGTTTCTTTACTTCAGTGTTTTACTTTGGCTGGTGTAGCGCTATCTTGTCAGGTATTTCGATGTTTATTTTCCAAACCCCAGTGTTACCGGACTGTGGGCCTGCGCGGTGGTACTTGCTTTCTGTAGGTGAGTAACAAACTACATATCACTGTCTCATCAATTGATTATAGAGAAATACATATTTAAATCAAGCCCAGTMCAGTAGAAAAAGCTGTATTGTTTTTGTGGCATACACCTGTATGTTGGTAAGGAAACTGTATAGTTAGTACGGCTGGCGCGTGGTCCGACTTCCATTCGCGGATCGATTGTTGTTTTAATGATATCAGCGTTTGTGACAGAACATTCGTGGACACGTCAAAAGCATCATTTTGTGCATCTTTATAGCTTGCTGCAAAATCGGGTTGTATCAGAAGTACATAACCAGAACTGGTTATGTATACTTTTGGTTGTATTCACTAAACGAATGACAACATCGCAAAGCTACAAGTTGTTTATCGTGTGAGAACGGTGATGGATACTCCGGGATGGATACTTATAGCTTTAGAATTAACACTAGCTAGATTTTCGATCCATTCAGTCGCGCCCAAAGGCCGTGCGCGGTCATGACGATGATGATGACGAAGATGAATGATGATGATCATAATGATGATCTCACAAAACATTCAAACAAGAGAAAACTCTTGTATAGCCGTATCGTTAACTATAGACAGCTAGACAGCAGTTGCGGCAGCGGGAACAAAGACATTGATAGACAGGAGGAGTATATCAGGATGTAAGGTGTACGTGTTCAGTCTCTCTGATAACAAGCTAATTACTTATTTTCATTATCTTTCAGCTATTTTTGGAGTGTTGGGAAGCCTTTGTCTTAACCGCGGTCTTCAGATGGAGAACGCTGCGCCAGCAGCACTGATGAGAAATGTAGACATCCTGTTYGCCTTTGTGTTTGACGTGGCATGTTTTGGCGAGCAGCCCAGTCCGTTAACCGTTGTTGGTGCTCTGATTGTCTGTCTGTCTACAACTGGTGCAGTTGTCTTGAAATGGTACAGATCACGTGGTACAATAATGCTCTAAACCGTGGCTGTATTTCTGAGGCAAGCGGAAAGAGGAACAGCTGCGCGCGTCTGAGTTATAGATAGCAGATATCAAGTGCATAAAAAATGTTAGAAGTTTCTCGTTTCTCGGTCACRTTACAACTCAGACATTTTGAATTAAATTGTCAATTAAATAAATAAAACCCATTAGACTATCTGGTCCAAAATCAATAAAAGAAAAGCTCAATTACTGCAATGGTCTGTAATTCTTGTAGAAATTGTTGCAATCAATCTGGCGAGGAAAGCCATCTTTGAAATCAGGATTGAATTATTAAAAAAATGGCCTGAAAATAATTATCAAAAAAGACAAAAGGAAAAGAAAAAAAGAAAAGATAAATCAGGCATCGGCTGAGAAAAATGATGATTACACCCAAAATTTATCCATGATGCCTTGCAGTYGGCGCATTTCATCCAAGATGGCGGAAGTTGAGAGCGTTATTTTGTCGCTCATCGAGAAAGATGTGCCTGAAGGACGAAAAGCTCTACAAGATGGACACGAAAACTTAGCTAAGGTTGCTACATACTGCCAACAGAAATATTCGGAGGCGAACAATAGGTACAAAGGGGCCCCGGATAAGGCTAAAGTCCGTGAAGAAACTCGAGAGGTTCTCAATGAAACGAAGCAATTTGCAACCCAGTCACTTGCAAGCGTTGCTTATCAAATTAACACTTTGGCTATCAATATGCTGAACTTATTGGACCAGCAAACTTCACAGTTACAATCNTTGTATCTATTTGGCCATCATACTACACAAATTTTGTTTCACTGGTTTAAATAGACATGGTCCACCAGCATCCCTTTTGAGCTTTTGCTTATGTTTGAAAATACATCGTAATACATGTATTTAAAAGCAAAAACACTCTATTATCCCTTTAGAAAATATGAATGCAGATACTGTAAAATTTGAGCTTTAAACTGATGGACGGAAACAGATTGCGAATGGAAATTCGAAGTCACATTATTGTCCATATATGAAAAATCTAAAACATGACCGCATTGAATGCTGGTGGACCATGTCCCTTTAATAACGATCAGTACATCTTATACTTCTAAATCATAAAATTCATTGTCATCTTCCATGTCTGTGAAAACATCTCCTAAGCACTGGAAGATGATTTGTGCATGTTCATAGCTATAAACACAAGTTCTATTTAAAATATCATCAACCGAAAATAAGCAATTGCACTTTCTTTTAACTTCATTAACTAGACTTAAAGAGAATGTCGTAAACAAGTCCAGAGAAGAGCAAAATGTAACATCTTGTTTTTGTTTGAAAAGTTCTCCCCTCTTCTGAATTAATGCTGTTGCAAGTCTCTCTCTATGTTCTTCAGTAACTGACCTTTCCAATAGATTACCAAGTGGTGCTTGTTCAGAAAWWTCTTCAAMAGAACTGTTGAACTTGTCACATGCTCTTCTATCTCCACATGAACATTGTGGTACACAGTTGTCACAACAGAGATGTTTTGGCAAAACTGGTTCTAAATTAACACTTGTATCAAAGAATTTGAGGAGTAGTTTCCTTCTACATCCATCATGCTTTAGATATGTGAGCATTTCTGCATCGCACTTCCTCAGCTGTCTTCCGTGATACAGAAGCACTGCATGGGATTGCTCCCCATCTCTTCCTGCACGTCCAAATGCTTGGTAGTAAGACCATAATTTATAACAGTATGAAGTCCTTTAATGTCTACACCCATCCCAAGTGCTGAAGTAGCAATTACAACACGAATACATCCATCAGGTTCAGTTAATGACTGTGAGACGTAGTTTTTGATTTTTTCGTCAGTGGAAGAATGGTACATTGCCACAAGTCTATATTGTGCACGCTCTGGTTTATTTGCTATATAAAGTGAAGTTCAGAAGTGAAGAATTATGTACACTGTCTTATTGATTTGCAGTAAATTATGACCCTTTCGGACTGTTCCCTTTTTAGTTTGAACTCACGAACAAGCCAAGAAAAATGCTTATGAATATAATTTTCAATTTCATGTAGCTTGATGTTCCTTCTGTCAGGGTTGGCAATGATATTTATACATTGGTGCATTGATAGCACATCAATAATTTTCTTTCTTGTAGCTGATTTGGAGCTGGCTGTCAGGGCTACAAGAGGTACATTCTCAAGAAAGGAACRAAGTTCACCAATCTTTGAACACCACACTCTGAATGGTTTGGCATCTTTGGCAGCCAGGCCCCTGTAAACAAAGAAGGGATTTTGAAAATTTTTAATAGAAATATATATACATGTAATTATACAATTATGAAAAACATGTAATTATACAAGAATTTAGCAGTCTGGTGAAAGCATAATATAGCAACAGTTTAACTTACTTATTACTTATAGTCATCACAACATAGGATTCGCGTTTACTTACCACTGGGTTAATGTATGAACTTCATCGCAAACCAGTCCTACTACATTTTTCTTGTAAAAATCAGTTGTCAAGAGCTTTCTGGTGGCTTYRCTACCCAGTGCTWKGGGACTTCCGAAAATGATTCTTACGTTTCCAGCAAGAAGGTCTTCGTTGTATGACAGATCTCCAATGTTTGCCGCTGTTATCCCAATGATGTGTTAACAAGGATATTTGTTCAGAAATTATGGACTTAAGTGGACAGGCAACAATGACCACAGGAGTATCGGTGAATTGTAGAAATCAACGATGCCTGAACAAAAAACACACAAATCTGGCATTGCTTGAAAAACTAGACCAGTAGCCAGTAGGCAGTTGGGCGAACACATCTCGTCCAGAAAAGAAAGATTTCAAAATCATTTGTTGTTCAGCTTTGAACTTTTGTATCTTCAAGCGAGTTTCTTTGAGAAAATCAACTGTGAGCTCATCAAATTCACATTCGAGAGACGCCATTTTGGAGAAGTGTGAATAAATACACAAATATGCATATCTGTATGATTTCTCGCGCGCTGATTGGCCGCCTAGATGTCGCGTCCCCAGTCGATAGCGAATCGCGGAGACGCCAGTGTCAACCAGTGTATCAACTTATTCTTTATTAATCCACACGGTGAAAACTACGATAAGCAATTACAATTACAATAGGTAGATAAATGTTAAAAATACAAGTAGAATAAACGAAATATAGCACTTACATCTGGTAGGCGTACAAGTAAATCAAGCTTTGTATGAATACTGATAGCATGTGGTGTGTAGAGACTATGGAGAATATCAAATAACACCGGAAATGCTTACGTAACTAGTTGATTAAACGGAGGCTAAATGGTGTATAAACACAACACTCCTCGCCCAAGGATACAATCCTTGCTCTAACAGTAACCGACTAAATGCTTACTAAAAATAATCAAATATAAATGTACGAAAATAATGTCTTAGTGTTCTGAGTAGGCTTTACTCATTATCTTCCTTGGGGGACAGAAGCAACACTAGCTGGGTGATGGGACGCAGAAATGTCTTGGTG